AGATGGGACAGCCTTTCAACATCCGCGGCGAGCTCCTGAAGTGTTTCGGTAGGCTTCTGTTGACGAGATTTTAATTGGAGCCTGCTGTAGTCTTTTAAACACTTCTCCCCAAAGCGCAACTCCAAGGCGCCGGACAGAGCTTCGAAATCTAACCTTTGTTTTCGGGAAGAGTCTGAAGGATATCCGCTGCGTCGGCTCTTAGAGAAAGCGGCGAGATGACAGGCCTTAGCTTGGGAATCCCATCCATTCGCATCCGCCACGATAGAAAATTGTGTCTTATACACCTGCCAGGAGGTCTTCCCATCATATGTGGATAGCTTCAGAGGTGGACGAGCAGGCATTGGTAAGAATTTAAAATCATCACTCCCGCTCCCTGCCGACGCTACGAATTTCTTTAAAGTATCCATTTCTTTGGCAACTGCAGAAACTCTCTCATCAATTTGTTGTTCGATTTGTTGTTTAACGGAACAAACTCTTCCTTCTATTTCTTCTTTGACTGAATCAACTTTGTAACCTATTTGTTGTTCCACGGCCGAAACTCTGTCTTCTATTTGCGCTTTCACAGAGGAAACGTTTTCTTCAATTTGTCCAACTTTAATTTCAACCGCGTCTATTCTGCCTTCCATAGCCTCAAATTATTTTCTATTGCGTAGGTAATTTCTCTTTTCATTTCGTCCTGACCGGCTTTCATCTCGTCTTTAAGAATTTCATTTCTTCCTTAACGGATATTTGACCAGCATCCATCTTTTCTTGTACAGCTTTTACATCTTCCTTAACGGAGTTGACGGCTCCTTCCATCTTTTCTTGGAAAGCAGCAAATGCAGTAATCATTTGCCTGAATTGTTCTTCCATCGCTCTTGTTATTGGCATTCAATATCCCACCGCTGCCACCAAAAATTGTTGCGTGCGTACGGGTTCGTTATTAAAAGAATGCACAAGTCCGATGAAAAATAAACAAAATTTATTATTATCACAACAAAAATGCTTAAATTTTCTCAAATTATCATGCAGTATTATAATATCTCACAGTAGTTATCTTTTAACTACTTAAATGTACAATAGAACGTAATTCAAAACAGCTAAAGAACGCTAATCCGCGAATTCGCTATAATCAACAACAGCAGTTTTCTAAACAACAACAAACTAAGCAACTACTACAACTGAGATGTTTTCCTCCTCCTTTTATAAGATTTTAAAATCACGCGCTAGAATTTTCCAGTACTTTCTCGAAATCAAAAAGAGATATTTATTTATTTAATGCACGCGCTCTTGTATTTTCAATTTTCCGGCTTAGCTTTCTTTTAATATTCGTCCCGCGCTGCACTGCGCGAGAAATAAAACCATTTAATTTATAATTAAACTAACATTAGCTTTTTAAATACCAAATTCGTAACATTATTATTCATCTATTTCAAATGCACGAGAGATTAATAACGATATTAAAGCTGTTACAACCTCTCCCCCAACGGAGAGACTTTTTCCGAAGGGTAAAGTTCTGTAAAATTTGACAGTTTAATAAGCTCGGCTTGCTCATTTGCTTAAAGAGAAAAGGTAACTTCTCTCATAAGTTTCCAAATTTTCAGGCCGAAAATTTTAAATTTTAAACAAATATTTTTACACCACATTTAAATAGGAAGAAAATGGACAGTGTTCAAATTAGTCTTCTTTTTTTTTTTTTCTTGACGGCGCCTAGATCTCTTGCATGTTGGACCAGTTCCTCGGCTATAATTCACAGCAAAGCCTTTCCTCAGTTTCATCTGGTGCCTTTCGGATAATATTCAGTTGCCATTTGCTTTCGGACAATTGTTTTCTTCGTCTATTAGTAGCGGCTTTGATATTAAATCGAAAGTCGGAAGATGATGATAACGTTGCATTGCAAAATGATTCTCAATATTAATTTGTTTATTCGTTTTTCAAATTTTCGTGAAACTCTTCCACGTTTAATTCCTGGTGATTTAGCTTCTTCTTCAAAGATATATCTCTGGATGCTTTATTTTCTTCCTTCATCGGTTCCAAGATTGCTCTTCAGCTCTTTTTTTCTTTTCCTTGAGCTCTAGTAGAAACAGCATAAAATGGTATCACTAAGTTTACGTTCAAGTGATAAACTAATAAAATAAGGCAGTTCAGTGTTAAGAGGAAGTAATAACCTGATACCATTAATATTACGTTTCAGTGATGAACTAATAAAATAAGGCAATTCAATATTAACAGGAAGTAATAACCTGGTATTACATATTATGTTCAGTGATGAACTAATAAATATAGACAATTCAATATCAACAGGAAGTTACGTTCAGTGATGAACTAATAAAATAAGGCAATTTATATCAACAGGAAGTAATAATCTGGTATCAATAATATAACGTTCAGTGATGAACTAATAAAATAAGGCAATTTAATATCAACAGGAAGTAATAACCTGGTATCACTAATATTGCGTTCAGTGATGAACTAATATAAAATAAAGCAATTCAATATTCACAGGAAATAATAATCTGGTATCACTAATATTATGTTCAGTGATGAACTAATGAAATAAAATTACGCACGATTATTCGATCTTGGTTGGTGCCTCCAAAATAATTAAGACTGTGATGCTTCTTTGTCGATATGAAGCAACTCCAATGATGGAACACAGAAGAAAACTTTATTTAACACTCAAAAATATGGCGACATACAACAAGAAGAGAAAACATATTCTATAACTTATTTAAAAAAAAAAATTACATGCTTCGTGCGAGAAAATGCATGCAGCTCTCGAGCCTACATTTCAATATTGCCAGTAATCTGTACATTATTTATTATTCTATTTCAAATGCACGAGAGATTAATAACGATATTAAAGCTGTTACAACCGGAGTCTAATATTTGGTAGCAACAATTTGAAGTGAATCCGACATTTAAAGTGAACCAACGAAAAACGCCGAAACGAAAATAATAGCCCGTCAGGGCAAATTGCCCCTTTGGACTAAAAAAAAAAATCTGAAAGCTTCAATTTTATTTTCTTTCTTTAAAAGGTTTTATATGACGCCTAGAGGGGAGTCTTTCAGTTACACACACGTAAGCTTTCGAGAGCCGTTTCCAGAACATTTGGTCTAACGCCTCTTTAGGTTAAAAATATTTAAAAAGAGTATATCTTTAGAATTTCCGATAGACAGTTTCGCGTATTTGAGATAAAAATCTTTTATTACGTATAATGTTGTCACTTGCTCGCTTTGAGTTTTTTAATCGAAAATTCGTTAAAGTTTTACAAAATATAAAATAGATAATAAAACTAATTCGAAATTCCAAATTCGACTTCCAGGTGCCCATGTTCGGGAGGAGGAATACGTTATTAAAAGTATGATGGCTTTAGGCAGCGTTGTTTTTTCACATTTCGAGAAACATACATGCATTCATGCAGATTCTTCAATATTTAATTTCTTTAAATATAGTACAGAGCGATAATATTTGGTATAGAGACTAACAGCTCTTCTGGGTTAACGCCTCTTTGGGCTAAAAATTCACTTACTTATTGGTCAACGAAGAAGAGCCTTGGAATTTCGTATTAAAGAGCATTACGAAAGAAGAAAAATGAAAAGTAAAATCGTAAAGCTGTTTTTGACATTAATCACATTTTTCATTGCTCCACATCTAAAATTATTCAAAAACATATTCTTCTTTGACGAATCAGATTTCCTAAAGGCGGTCGTAAAAAACGATCGGTTGTGGTTAAGGATTCTACTTTCTAATTCCTGTTTACCACCAGCTTCTCAAAAAGACCTATTTCCTAATTGCATTTTGTTTACAATTTTGTTAATAAAAGTGTGCTGTTACATCATAAGCACACGCGTTTTGGCCGTCATTTCAATACCTGTGAGTTGAAGAAGATGGTTCTAACCTTCGAAACGATATTTCTGTTAATTCATGCACATTATGTTGATTCTCGTCGCTAATTATTACTATTTTTAACATCAATTAACCTGTATTTTATTTTTAATTTCTTTTTCGAAACAAATAATTATATTCTATTTCGAAACAAATAATTAGCCTTTTTTAATTTTCATACTAGAATGTTTTGCCACCTTATTTTTTCAAAATGAAATTATTATTTAAAAACTTTTTTTACACGATTTAAAAAAACGTTGTTTAAGAAAAAATTCACTGCGCCATATCTTTTGCTATAATTTATCGTAAACACTTTTTCAAATATTTCCTAAAACATTTTATTTCTAATTTTTCTCCTTACTTTTTAGTCCAAAGACGCAATTTGCCCAGAAGGACCATTCATTCGTTTGGGCATTTTGTGTCGATTCACTACAAGCCTTGTTTCACTTTTTAAATTGTTGCCACCAAATATTATCTCCCTACATTATATTTAAAGAAATTAAATAGTGAAGAATCTGCATAAATGTAAGTATATTTCTCGCATTGTGATAACGTCACGGTACCTAGAGCCACACAGTTTTGAACAACGTAATCCTCCTGCGAATATGGGCATCTGGAGACGCAAATTTTAAATTTGGAATTTGTTTTATTATCGATTTTATATTTTGTAAAATTTTAATGAATTTTCGATTAACAAACTCAAGGATTTCAAAGCGAGCAATGGCAACGTTGTACAGAAAAAGGCATTTTTATCTCCAACGCGCGAAATTGTTTATCGGAAATTCTAAAGATATGCTCAATTTAAAATTATTTTGCGTTATTGCTCTTGAACTGAATTTTATGGTTTAAGTGCGAAGAACATGATATTTAATAAATAAATGTAACACACAAAATGTTAAAATAATGCCCTTTTGGATGTAATTTAAAATCTGAAACTTTTCAGACTGTTTTTTAATCCCCTTATAGTGTATGCAAATGTTTAACAATAAGAAAACTCGAGAATATAGGCTATAGGTTTTGAATTCGACAACAGATGGCGCCACCACTGAAAAGTTTTTGCTGGAGGAGAAAAAGTGAAAACACGCTTTGCTGGAAGCGCTTTCAGGCTCTGACTCAAACGCACATTACGAGATGCGATCAGTAACTTGCGCGGTGAGTTGTATGTAGGCCAACGGCTGTTCTGGCATTCACTATATCGTTTCACTCTTAATTCAGAAATGGGAGAAATTTATCGGCATGTTTTATGCAGCAGGTGAAACACGTTTGCTGTATTTGGAATTCTGTGTATATATAAATTCTATGACGCATAATTTTCAAAGCTTCGAAAATTCTCAACCGTTTTTAACCAAATTCTGTCATTCTTGGTAATTATCAACGATTTTAAAAATTCTTAACCAAAAGAATGAAATGGAGCATACGAAAAAGCATCACATGATGACGATATTGTGGTTATGAATGTACGGTGACTAAGTGAGTATTTAAACAAATACATTGCATCGATGAGACATCAACACTTCACTCGCTTTGCAATATGTATGGCTACAGGTCCAGTTGACCATCAGTGCCAAAATGGGAATCAAAACTTTGATCTTCAGCTTCTTGGTGTTAACGGCTCACGTAAGTACGATTTGAATCATGTTAAATATATACAGTAATGGAAAATTAATGCCAAGCTATAAATCTTTCTCATATGACTTATAATATTTTGATATCATAATCTACCCAAAGAAATATAAAACTTCCCATTTCTTTACATTATACGAATAAAGTCAAATGCTAGTCTAATTTATAAATATTATACCTTTTAAATGTAATAAAATAGTAATGACTAGTGTTGCCATTTCGCCTGGCATTATGAGTTAAAAATTTTTTAAAACAACTCACTTTTTATAGCAAAAAGTAATATATTAGAATATACGTATATATTAGAATATATGTATATTCCGTGGTTCGATTCCTGGCGAAGGCGTTAATTTTTCATCTTTCCGGCTTGCAAAGTACCTAATGTCTCTACAAAATTGCAAAACGTGGTCCTATTAAAATGGAAAACAGGCAACAGTATCACACTTTTCGAAGATAATTATAACTTTTCGTCAAATCGAGCAGTTAAATTATCTTTGTAAATTTTCAAATTTCAACTGAAGTCCTGAAAATTCTAGATAATTTATACAACGAAGCTAGGAAGTCTTTTGAAGGGCCGATTTCTTCTAGTGTAAGAAGTGTAGATAATAGTAATAAGTTTTATTATTTCCAAAAGATGAAAGAAAAGTCTCATAGAGTTGTTGTGCAATACACAATGTAGTAAATATGCCAGTCTGTGAAAATATGCCAGTGTAGGGAAACAGTTAAGGGCAATATTTAAATAACCTAACCTAGCCTAACCGAGTGAACATCAGAACATCAGAGATGCCTTTCTTCTTAAAGTGAAAACCAGTTTCATTTTATTTATTGGTTTCAGAATTTTTCTACTTACATCTTTAAAACTTATCATTTTAATTATTTGTGACAATTTATGACAGTTTGTATTTTATGACAATTGACATTTTAATTATTTGAATATTTTATTACAGACACGTTAGAATGTTTTATTGCGATTTGAAACAATATGGAAAGAAATGAATATTTAGAAAGTAAAATTCAAATCGAATTGCTTTGTTTCAGTCGGATTGTTTGGTTATTGGGAAATCATTGAAGCACAGGATAGTTTGTATTAATTAGCACAGGATGAATTTTCTGGAAAAATAAGGAAGCAGAAGTATAATATATGATGAATATGTAATATTTTTTTTTCTTTACTTTTCCAACAATAGAATATCACCCCGAACAGTAAAAAGAATCAAAAACCATTTGATGAAGAAGACATTTAATAGTATAATATCATCTAACTGATGAAACTTAATCTCCAATGTTAAAAGAAAAATTAATTTTACTTTTAAAAGTGTTTCGGTTTTTAAAATGTACAACATTTAATACCACAGTTCTTTTTTGAATGTAAAATTATACGAAAAGAAATATGTCAGAATGTTAAAAAAATATATTAATGTTTAAATAAAATAAAAATAAAAAAAATCCTAAAGTTTTCAGATTTTTATATTACGCCTAAAGGGATCTTTTTTTTTTTTTTTTAGTCCAAAGGGGCTTTGGTCCCTGAAGACTATTTTTCGTTTTGCGATTTTGCGTCGGACTCCTATAACGTCGGTTCACTTTCAAACTGTTGCCACAAAATGTTAGAGTCCTGCATTATATTTGAAGAAATTAATATGAAAATTGCATAAATGATTGTATTTCTCGCATTGTGAAAAACAATGGTACATAGAGCCATCGAATTTTGAATGACGAAATCCTATGCGAATATGGGCATCTGAAATCCCTAATTTGGAATTTGTTTTATTATAGATTTTATATTTATATATTAACGAATTTTTGATTTACAAACTCAATGCTTTAAAAGCGAGAATTGCAACGTCTATAGAAAAAAAATACTTTTATCTCCAGCTCGCGAGACTGTGGTATATCGAAAATTCTAAAGATATGCTTAATTTAACATTATTTTGCGATATTGCTCTGAAGTGAATTTTATGGTTTAAGTGCAAATAACATGATATTTATGAATAAAGGTAACACTCCAAACGTTAAAAAACGCCCCTTTGGACGTAATTTAAAAAATCTAAAAATTTAAGATTTTTTTTTTTTTTTTTTTTTTTTTTTTTTTTTTTTACATTTTTGTGTTATTTTTATTTATTAACCATAAAATTCAATTCAACAGCAATATCACGAAATATTTAAAAAGAGCATATGTGTAGAATTTCGGATACGCAATCTCGCGTACTAGAGATATATTTTTTTTTACAGTGTTGCCATTGCTCGTTTTGAAATCGTTGAGTTTCTTAATCAAAAAATCATAAATGTTTTACAAAATATGAAATAGAGGATAAAACAAATTACAAATTTGGTCTTCCAGATTCTCATATTCGAGTGAGGACTACATTGTTCAAAATTTGATGTCTCTAGGTACGTTGTTTTATCACAGTGCGAGAAACATGCATACATTCAAGCAGAATCCTTATTATTTAATTTCTTTAAATGTAATGCAGGGCTCTAATATTTGGTGGCAACAATTTGAAAAGTGAAACTCCATTTTAAATTAGACGGCGCAAAATGCCGAAACGAAGTTAATAGCCCTTCTGGGCATACTCATTTTTAGCGCCTTGGGCTAAAAAATTTTATATGAATGTTTGGAACCTACAGTTTTTGTTGAATGAAATGACGTTTCAATTTATTATTTTGTGAGAAATGCATTTGTATAAGATCAAAGATAAACTGAAAATGTTTTGAATCATTGATGGACAACAACGTCTATTTATGACGGGCATGATTTATTGTTCCCTGAAAACAATACCACCTTTTAAAGGTATTAACAGAGCTATCACAGCCTTATAAATCACTTGCAAAATTCAAAACCTGTATCTTCTTTTATAAAGATGCATGTGAGAAGAAATAAGTGGTAGCAATGCCTGTCAAAATTGGTTAAAAGATTCTATTAGAAAGCATTGATTGCTGGTTTTTCATAAAAATGCAAGTCTCGATTTTACAGTGCATCAAAATCGTTAATTTTCGTACAGTCTTCTGTACACGTTCCGCGTGATAATCATCCACTTAGTCCTTCATTTATTTCTTTGGCTGTTCATGTGACGCTATTTTGACTTGATTTGATGCATTTAATCATGATTTAAGTTTGAATAATAATTTTTGATTTCTTCCCCCTTATGACACTTTGCTTTTTTCTTTCGATTATTATGATATTAAATAATCGTTGAAAAAATAAAGGATTTGTATTTTATTTGAGAACTGAACTGTAGAGGAAATTGAAACAATAAAGCTGAAAATTCTGAGGTTTGTTAACAATAAAGTTGGGAATATTTTGTTGAATGAAAGGTGAGGTAATCTCGCGTTCCTGTGATATCATAACAAAGAAAATGTGAGAACTAAGTGTAATACTGTCGACTTGTATTATGATGACTTGGGATGGAAATTGAAATGGGATGGACTAAGTGGAGTAATATGCCAAATGATCGTTGTAAGGATATTGCTCGAAAGTTGGAAAAAATATCAAAAATCTGTTGTATTGAAACTTTAAATTACCAAACATTAAATAATCATTGTAATTTATATACTTACAATTTTAATTCATTATAAAAGGCTACCAAATAAATTTTAAAATATTAAAATATTAACTAAGAAAACAGTAATATTTCTTCTGTAAAAGAATACAAATGGATAAAATAACTAATTATAATTTACACAAACAGAAGCCAAACGTTTCTATATAAATTCACAACTTTTAAACAAAAGAGTTGTGAGGACTACTTGTAATAATGTCGACTTGTCTCATGATGACTTGGGATGGAAATAAAAATGAAGTAAAAGAGTAGTATACCAAATAATCGTTGTAGAGATATTGCTGGAAAGTCGGAAAAAATATCAAGTACTGAAATGTTAAAAGTAAAAAAAATATCAAGTAATGAATCTTTAAGTTACCTCCCCCCCCAAAAAAAATCGGAAAAAAATATCAAGAATAAAAAAAAAAAAAGATGTCAAGTATTGAAACTTGAAATATCAAGTATTGAAAATATTAAGTTGTGAAATATTAAAAGTTAAAAAAATATCAAGTATTGAAACTCTAAGTTTCCAAACATTAAATAATCATAGTAAAATTATTGGATGTTACTGGAAAGTCAGAAAAAATATCAAGAACTTATTTTATTGCCGGACATTTAATAATCATTGTAATTTATATACTTAAATTTTAATTCATTATAAAAGGCTACCAAATAATTTTTAAAATTTTAACTAAGAAAATGGTAATTAACTAAGAAAATGGTATTCTATAAAAGAATACAATAGGTAGGATAATATTATAATTACAGAAATAGAAGCCCACTGATGCTAATTTATATTTATATTTATTTTTTATTAAAGATGGTATCCTGAGATTTTCCTTTTGAAGAGGAATATATATTTTCTTTCCTAGTGTCTTTAATTTCTGTTTTATTGGAAAATAACTTAACTATACTTGAAACCCTTTGCTCGTGGTTTTCAGAAAGAAAAGAATGATTTATTTCTTAGAAAAAAAGGTTTACTTTCTACCTTATTCATATATACAAGAAAGTCGTTACAACGCAATATGGGTACTTTAAAATTACATTGATCGGTCAATAGATAGCTTGGAAAGTTACGTCGATGCAATGATAAAAAAACTCCAGCTAATAATTAAGGAATTGCCTAGTAAAATTTTAAGCTTTTTACCACTCCTTAGAAAGTTTTCTAAACGAAAATAATTTGAAAATAAAAGAAGAATTAACATCCGACATTAAAAATCATTGTTTCTCATTGATAAATAATTTCAAAACGTATTTTCACGAAGATTTTGAAATTGCATCTCGTGAAGAAAAGGAAGAATTGACAGAAATTTCCTGAGATCGAGCTCGAACGAAAGATTTCTAAACTAACACACTTCTTAACTTTTGGCTGAACCGAAAAAAATCATTTAAAAGCATTTCAGATAAAGCTATTAAATTTTTATTCCTTTTTTCTTACAACCTATGTGTACAAACAAG